AACGACGCAGAAAAACAACACCCATGCAGAGCTGCCGAAATACCCGAAAGATGTTTTTTTGTCTGGCAGCCAACATTTTCCTTCCCCTGGTTTCTAATATTAAGTGTGTCTAGAGGGGCGGATTGTTTTCTTCCACTGAAAAAAGGCCGTCCAGTAAAGATGGAACCTGGTCCTGTTTGTTTGCGAACTGCGGCTGTGTTGATCGCCCCGAAGTCCCCCGAACCTCTCGCTCTCCTTTCTTCTCTCAGAACATGTTATATGTTATTTGTTCACTTCTTCCACTACACGCTTCCAACATTTCCCCTTTTCTCTCTCCGCTGTTTTTCGCCCGAGCTGCGTTCCATTCTTCTTTGTCTCGAGGTGTGTGACGCACTTCCTTCCATTGTATCAGGAAACGATACCTTAACGCTGGTGAAGTTACAGTCAGAGCGGGTCGTGCTGTGTTGATTGGAAGGTACTGTGTGCTCAGCGCAGGTGTGTGCCTCCACTCACTTGATTAAACAGAGCTACGTGCTAAATTACAGAATAAAGCACCTTGCTTCACGGCAATCTCCCGTGACAAAATGTATTTCTCAGGTTTGCCAGTGAGTGACATGAGAACTTATTGCTGAGTTTGAGTTTGAGTGGGATGAGGTCACTCGGTCTATTTCTCGGCTGCAGCCGCAAACAAGCATGAAAACATTTGGTTGCTACGTGATGGCATTTAATAAGACGCTCCCACCCCCTAATTCCCACCTCGCGGCCATTCCGGCGCTGCTGTCCTTTTAGTTGGAGGTAAAGCGAACACTTAAAGGGTTTTCTTGCTCAAATTCAGATTGGCTTACTGTTTTTTTTTTGAGCGTAGAAAATTATATTTTTAAACTTAATAGTCATGTTGCGTTTCTTTTGAAGGGCACAGTACTCTAATGCACTAATATACAGGGAAGCTAAAATAACCTAACTTAACCTAACTTTTAGGCTTTTGTAGGGGCAAAAACATTGGACATTACAATTCCCATGATGCAGCGTGTTGGAATGATGATCCCTGCAAGGCAAGCGTCTACTTATTTTACGCTTTTGACCTTAGAATCTCCCTCCAGAGCCAATGACAAGGACGTTGAACAGCCGTGTTCCCAGGAAGAGTCGTACCTTTCATCAAGTTATTCTCATATATAGAAGTGACGGCTTGTAAACCGTTAGTGAATTGCTTGTACGCATCTGCCACACAAACAGAAACCGCACCACAGGATGTTGATATGTCATGTACGTGGTTTCATAAGCCATCCATTTGGAAGGCATGCGTTGCTCCCTGCCTACCTGAAAGTGACCGACCTTATTGGAGGATACGTAGCAAATGAATTCCCATTCTTCCCTCTGCAACGCCACTCCAGAGGTTAAGAGCGATCAAATTATCCCACTGTGCTGTTGTATTCCACTGCTTTACATGAGTCACCAAGGCAACCGGTAAATGAAATCATCGAGGGCTGGTTGCTTTAATTCACGGGAGCTGTCTGACATCCAGCCTCTGTTTTGTTTTTTAAAGACATGTTCTAGCACAGTGGGAATCCTGTTGAAACTGCTGATTAGATAGACATTAGTTAGACACTATGACCAAGGAGCTCGTGGTTGCCACCACATTGTCAGAGCACAGCGGGATGGTTTCAATGGTTGTTAATCCATTGTCGACAGTTTGTGTGGGGGGATGCTGCAAGTTGACCCAACTTGCAGCATCATGTAGCAGGAAAGCATTGCGGCTAAACTGCATATTAAGTGTGTTCCTGAAGCACTATAGCAGGGTAATAAATCCCACTGTCCGTCACGCTGATTGTTCATTAACTCCCTCCGTGCTCCCACAGTCAGCACTTTGGTGCCTGCGTGTGTCCTGTTAGCAGCACCTGAGCTGTGAGATTAGCCATGACGATCATGCAGAGCTTTTATCCAGGTTGAGGTATTACAACATGACAGGTGAATGACGCTAAAGGGAGGCACACAGAGAGAGACAGGAGCAAAAAAACGTTTTTGACAAGCCGTTGAATGAGTAACTCAATGTTTTTTGTGTATTCTACAAGAACTTAGCCTTTGTACCTTCACGGGATACTGGGCATGCTCATGTGGTGGTTGTGAATACTTTATATGCAGTTGATTGGAAAACCTTTGAAAAGTAGTGAAGTAGTGGCTGTACAGTGCCTCCGACTTGTACTTCACGGGTTAAATTCAGCACCTTTCATGTGGATGTCCGATCCATGTTAACGCTAAATGTTGTCAACTGACAACGTGATCTACAAAACCTGTTCGTAAAAATGTATACGAAAATCTTGAACATACAAATTCGTAACAATACATACGAACTGGCGGTGGTTAACCACGCCCTTGAGTGAACAACATGGCGGACCATGTTGGATTCTTGAGTGAACGTCACGTTGGGTTTTTTGAGGGGGTTAGGGTTAGTAGTGTATTCTTACAATTTAACATTGATTTCTCGTTAAAAATGCAATCATAACACGTTTATTTTACATCATTAGACTTCACAAAGTGTGTTTACGGGGTGCAGGTCCCCATTCACTTTGATTAGGGTGACGTCATCAGTTGCACTCCGTATTTATTTCGTATGTATCACTACAAATTTGTATGTTGAAGATTTTCGTACACATTTTTACGGACAGGTTTTGGAGATCAGGCTGCAACTGAAGCGATGCAAACGTCATTATGTGCACCCAAAAAGCCAGGATCTCCTGCTCAAGCAGCTGTGGCAGCGGTACGTGTGCATTTGGTGAAGGCTTCTGCCATGATCCCCCCCCCCCCCCAGCCATACTGTCATACGAGCAGCATACAGCTAACCGGAGAAATCCACACTTAAATAGCTCATAGTTCTTCCTTGCATGGAATTATGTCTCCCCCATTTAAAATGCTAGACGCAGGAAGAGCATCCAGAACAGATGTTGGAGCTGTAAACTCCACTTTCCATGTCAATATGGCACAAAAACATCCACATATGAACTAGTTTTCTCTTTAAATACATTTAAAGTTCAACACCAACTTATGCACTAAATGTATTTATGGCCATTAAAAGATATATATAAAATATTACAAGAATTTGAGGCAGCAGAAACTCGGAGTGGAGTTTGACGAGGAAGAGGTTGTTGTTTCATGTTTCGCCTGAAATGCAATGCATGTTCCCTTCCGCGTACAGCCTCTTTATAGGCTCTCCCATTTAGCTTTAATGTCGCCAAGAACCTCATTTCAATATTGCCATTTGTTTCACCGCCCCCGGACAAAAGCATTTGACTGCCCTTAATTTACAATCTGCCATCCGGTTTTGGCAGACGGACTGATGGCGGCATTAGGGCCACGTCAGCCCTGCTTGCGTCACCTGTAGCGGCCAGCTTGGTAAAACCCCACGTGCGCATCGCCCGTTGAACGTAATACCTGCGTGGACTCCATGGCGGGTTCTACGGCACCGACGTCTATGAGGTGTGACGGAGGCACACCGACGAGTCCATAGTGCACCACCTGCGAATCAGCCGAAGCAGGTGCGCACAAGCATCGACGAGCGCACCTGTTCACGTGACCTTATGGCACCGCAATGCCCGTTTTTTAGAAGTTTTATTTAATAAGCCTCTCATCTACACTCAACCCCCCCGTGACACTAATGACCGATTGGAGCAACGACGTCTGACTGATGGGCGTCACATAGCGCTGCGCGTGATGATATCTCATTATGTACTTAAAGGATCCAAATTAGACTGGTATAAGGAACAGAACCTGTCACAGTGCCATACCTTTGCTTCCCCCAAATCGACGCCGACGGGTGCGTCTCAAATGATATTACGGCATTAATTATAGGACTATGGCGGATTAGAGTCGCCCCGAGCAATTTACCAGGAAACTGTGTCGCTTAGCAACACCGTCGCCCGCTCAAAAACCTGGGTCGCCTGTGGATGGATGAACGCTAATTATTCATTAATATCGTTGAAAATAAAGGTTTACTGAAAGTCCGCGTGCGGTCGTGTTGTGTACCATGGCACAGGTCAAAAGGTAACGCCTGCAACAAATTAACACAAACACCCCCTTACTTCGGAAAGGGTGACATATTGGAAGAACTGTAGCAGTGTAATTGAAGTGTTCGCGTTATGAGCAATCGCATACAAAGCCAGTCGCTCCGCGGTGGTCACCTCAGAAAATCCCCCTTTAGATTATTTTCCCTCGACCAAACTTTCCCCCTGAAACTTTCTATGCGAGCGAGTCTTTCTGCCAAAGACGCCCGCCGCAAAAAGAAACCAAAAACAGCGAGAGCCGCGTCTGCGGTGATGCAGATTAATTAGGCGGTCGCGGCGTATTGGATTACGATTAATACGTTACTCCATCTCGTGTAACGTGTCACATTCTGGGCGCCGGGCCCTTCTTCGGGAGCCGTGTCCGAGTCACCGTTGGCGCGCGTTTGTCTCCCTCCCGCCGAGTGGCAACAGCGGGCGCTCTCCACGCTGCAGCGCCGTGGAATTAACACAAATGCCCACTGTGGGAGACACGCGTCCGTTCGGCGTGAGCGCTGCTTTGGTGACAGGGCGCAGAGGCTCATGGGAGCCGTCTTCGCGGAGTCTATACATGCGCGTGCCCACCTGCTGCGCGAGGCGTTCAATGCGCTCACAGATGCGGATCTGCGATACATTGCAGCACAGAAAACCTACACGGCGTGTTTTTCTCTGCGCCACGTGTGGTAATAAAAAAAAAGGCGCGCGCGTTGCACGGGCTCTTACAGCTCAAATTTGAATAGTTGCCTTTTCCTTGCAACGGCCAGTAACCGGACTCCGGAGTGCAGCGCGCGAGGGGAGGGAATCCCTCCGGTGGCTGACGTTTTCCTTTACCAAGGAAACCCACACGCGCTCTCTGACGCAACTGCCCATTTTAGGAAACATGCGTCAATGGGCCGAGGCAAGTCACAACCAAACAGTGGACTGCGCAGCGGGCGCTGACGTTCGCATCGAGAAATAAACCTGTCCACGTGTGTCCGGGCTGCTCGGACTGTCCCCGTCGCGCCTCGGTTCGGTCTCCGGTGTGCGCGTGGCGACGGGTGCTCGCGGCGGATCTGTCTTCAGCGCCGCCTTATCCAGAGCGCAACCCCTCCCTGGGAGAAGTTGCAACGCCCCGGCCGTGACGTGGGCTGTTCCGTTGGTGTTGAAAAGCCGTTGCAGTTTCTTCATAGTGCCATTGAAGTGAGTCATCTCTAGGAAGTGTGGTTGGAAGAAGAAAAAAAAAAGGAAAAGACAGGGCGAAAAAAAAGTTCGAACTGTTCCGTGAACAGCGGAGAGCTGAGATCGTGCGCAGAGTATCCAGACGAGGCGGCGGGAGGTAGTCAGACGATCATCCGGCCAGAAGCCTTGAAAGCGAACGTTAACCTGCGTGAGTCACTGTCACTACGGAGCCGCTCGCCTCCTCTAGATCCGCCCGGGGAAGGAAGGAAGGACGGTGTGCTGCTCACTGAAGTTTGCGCACCTGAGAGAATAGTGTCCACCTGCGGCTCAGGAAGAATTAAAAGCACAATCCGAAATAGCGCGCACGAGCACGGAGAAAGCACTAATTCTATTCGCTAACTAGCAATATCCGTCAGATGCTTTAGTTTAGTTTTCAGCAGCGTGATCGCACTTTGTCTTTGCCAACTCTTCTCTGGATATCCTAAATCAACAGCTTCTCGGGTCAGAGGATTTTTTTTCTTCTCTCTCTTGGTGCCTTTTTTAAACTGCGAGGATTTTAACGAGAACAAGAGGGGGCGCAGGGTTCAGATCTCAAGCGGGCCCCTCTTTCCTGGACCATGTACCAGGACTACTCCGGGAACTACGACACCTCGTCCCGCGGAAGCAGCACGTCTCCGCCACAGCCAGAGTCCTTCACCAGCGGCAGCAGCACGATCGGAAGTCCAATCTCTACCTCGAGCTACCAGGTAACAGCCGGGCTTCCGCCACATCGCCCATAAATAACCCCAAAGCGCGTCAATGTCAATGCGCGACACCGGGAACGCACACACCGTCCCCGTGGATTGATCACCGGTTGATATCATTTGTAAAGTCATTATCCGGGTTGCTTGGGGTGCGGTGGGGGCAAGGGGGGGGGGCAATGACACGGATTGTATCGATAAGGCAACAGATGGACGACTCGATCTCTTTACAAGTAATCGATTATTCTATTTGAACAATGTCACCGTCAGATGTGCTTTTGGTCAGATCTCAAATTGGCGCACTCGCTTGTGCGCACAGCAAATGGCAAATATCCTACGTGGTGATTTTGTACATGTAAATGAAACTCCACATTTTTCTTCTGTATGATAAAACCAAAGTTCAGCAGCCACAGAGGCGGGGGTACCTGCCTGCTGATGCTGTGCGGGACAAACGGGACACAATGATTGGAGGGGAAATAGCTCTCTGTCCGTCGCTCTAATTTCTCCTGTCCGTGCGTCGAGCGGTTCGTGGGGGGGTCCTTCTCACCCCAGCGGGGACGGCATTTTACGCGCATCACAAGGTCTTTTCCGTCACAACGCACAGCTCTGCACGCATTAACCGCGAGCTGTTCAAACGTTGCGCCAGTTGGGTGAATGCAACAGGCAAGTAGCGCTCCATCGACAGAAGGGCCAGGATGCGACCAGCTGCACTCCTGGAGGACACCAGACACCGTTCTGCAGTTGCAAAACATGATATACATTCACTTACGGTTGGACTGATCAGAAATGACCACGGGTCAGATAGTTGTCCGATTTTCTTCGATTCTTCTTTACATGTCGGATTTCTTGATGTCCTGACAGATTTTTTTCAAACATCCCGCAATCGTCTCCTCGATGTCATCTGAGGTTTCGTACCTTTTCAGTGAGTTGGACCCTCGGCTACTGTAGATCTGCCAGAGTAATGCCATGTGTACACCGTGCCCAAATATTCACAAATGATATATATCATTATCCAGGAGGCTTGTTGTTCGCTCACGGTTAATTCTCGCCGTAGTGCAACATTACGGTAAAATACTTTTGGCCCGTATCTCTCATTGCTGAGGTTCCCTGTAATCACACTGGTCTGTTTCCCATTACAGCGGCCTGGAACAGGATTCTGCTATTCTTTATTTGAGACATATCAAAGCACAGCCTTGTCCCCCTCTTTTTAATTAGACCAATATATCATTTAAAATTAGATGAGAAGATCAACTGTATTGGGGGTTCTCTAGAATTACTGTCATAACTAAATAAATGTTTAGTGTGATTTACACTCCATAGTTATTTTTGAATGCTCTTATTTTGAAGCCAAACTTCAAAATAGTTCTGCTCACGATATTCTAGCTAACTGAACCCCCCCCCCCCCCCCACACACACACACACACACACACACACTCTTAACCACCCCTTACTGGAACTGCTCGCGTTTCCCATGTGGTTAACGAATCCCATACACTGTGAGTCACCAGGATAAACAAAGTTCCAATAGACTGCCGGGATATCCAGCGGAAAGTTGGGAATAGCGGCGATATAAAGACGTGCGTGTTTTACGTCCGCCTGTCCGTGTGTGGACTCCAGAGGAAGGAAGTAATACTGAGCATAGAGACATACTTTACAAAGCTTAGCGGGATTTGATCCGTAGTTTGAGAGGTTGGTGCCAAAGGTAGAGAGATATGAACTCCTAATATTTATGTCTTCTTCATCACGGCGTGGCTACAGGGCAAAAGACAATTTTTGTCAAAATAAATGTTAATTCCATAAATGTTAATTAAATCGTCGTCACTTATCATTTTGCTTCCCAAAAAAAACAAATCATTTTTTAACAGTTAATTTTCTTTAAACACAATGTTATAATAATTATAACATTGTATATATATAATAATAAAGTCCATGTCCCCATACAACCCATGATACTATATCCATCCAGTCCATATTAATGTGTACATTCACTCTCGTGCAATCCGAGCATTTGCAGCTTTTCGGCGCAGTGCTCTGTGTCATGGTTATTGTAGTAGAATTATATGCTGAGGACACCTTGGGCTTTCCCTGCGTGATTCACAGCATGTGTCACTGTTTCACTCCAGGGGTTACATACAAAGTGTTTGGCCTGTGTTGGATTGAATCATTACTATAAGCTGGAGAGTGTGTGAACTTGATAATGGTGGCTGGCGGTGTGGGACACATCGATAGAACCTCAAATGCTTAGCGGATACTGCCCGACCCGCTTTACCGGGAAGGTCTCCTCGGATGTGACCATGCGTCCCCTCTCATCCCGTCTCTCTCGTTCCCCCTCCCTCCAGAAGTACAGGGTCGACATGCCCGGCTCCAACAGTGCCTTCATCCCCACCATCAATGCAATCACAACCAGTCAAGACCTGCAGTGGATGGTGCAGCCCACAGTCATCACCTCCATGTCCAACCCTTACTCCCGCTCCCACCCGTACGGCCACCACCTGCCCAGCGGGCCGGGGCTGATGGGGCACAACACGTTGGCTCGGCCCGGGGTCATCCGCTCCATCGGGGACGCCAGGGGCCGACGCAAGAGGGACGAACAGGTGAGGGGCCATGTTGGACAGCATAAAAGCATTTAAATAGTTAGACGTTGGTTTCTTTTTATAGAGATTTTGCTTCGGAAGGCCTCCGACAAAGAAACGTGAAGTGTGTTCATCCTGAAACAAAAGCAGAGCACCGTGAAATAGCAGAAATCTTGAAACATGAGACAGTTTGTTGAACAGTGAGTTTATTTCATCACACCAATAAATTCGATGTGGTGGAATCATTATCAGCCAGTGCTTCCCAGCTTATCCTGCGCTCGTTGCTTCATTTTGATTTAGTGTTTGCCTGTCAAACTGCTTATTATATACCTGCTCCGTTTCTTCTCTACTTCGTCCTCAGCTCACCCCGGAGGAAGAGGAGAAACGAAGGGTGAGGCGAGAGAGGAATAAGTTGGCGGCCGCCAAATGCCGCAACCGCAGGCGAGAGCTCACAGAGATGCTCCAAGGGGTGAGTGGTCGCGACGCATCAGATCACACGTCTCTTATTGGTTTCCTCTTCAATCACAAAGGCTTTCTTCTAATGCGACAAACACCTCTAGCTAATCATCTTCTGCTTCCGGTTTTGGGGGGCAATTTTTCCACTCTAGCAAAAAAAAAGGAAATTTGGATAGAAATGTATAGTAAAAGAAATGATTTTCACAGAGAGAATATTTTCTCGCTGGTTGAGACAACTGGCAGAAATCCAGATTTTTTTGGTGACTGACTGAGCACACCTAAATTGAAAAGCTTGCATTACTGGTTCGACTCTCGCCGTGTTGCTGAGTGTGAGGCCTGAGCGAGGAGATGACAGGCGATGAAAGGCTTTTTGTCTCGGGCAGCTGCAGACAGAGGTAGGACTGTCTCGCAGGATCTAAATGGACTAATTAGCTGAATTACAGTGAGGTGGAGCTTGTCAGGCTTTAGAATTTTTTTTTAAAAGAGCAGGAATGGAATTTGCTGTAGGCAGCTGTCTCCGTAAATGAACGACATTTTGTAAAACGGGGCCAATTGCTCGTCTCACAATCCCGCATGGAGACATGCTGCATGCACACACAACACACACATACACACACACACACACACCACAGCCATCGCCTCAAGGGAAAGACAAAAAAAAAGCCTCTGTCTTCACAGGGCTGTTTTTTTTTCTTCAAATTTCCAAATAAGGAAGTGTTGCGTTCCCAGTAAAAACTACTAAGCAGTATTCCTGCAGCCACTCCTCTGTGACTGAAGTGTTTCAGTGGGCACCTCCCCTGTCTCCTCTGTGCTACTTCCTCATACCTTGACTGTGAGTCAAAGTTCTCAGACAGCATGTCAGCTTATCTCTATCTGCCCCATGTCTCGAGCTGTTTATGGCTCTTTAGTTCAGAATGTGTGCTGATTCATGACATGCAGATCTCATATCTGCTCAGACACCAAACACACAGCTTCATTATGGGAGAGTCTGATGAAGCAGCGAGCCCTTGAGATTATGTCTTGGAAATGGAAATGGCCCGGTTTCGGATTGTGCCTTCTTGCGTAAACAGAACTGAGCAAACGGACAGTGCCCTCTTGTGGCAACAGTCCCACGATACTGACAAGCCTGTCAGTATTTTTGGAGCCATGGAGTAAACTTCTTGGCCTTGTTTTCAGTATCCACAAAAAAATGTTAAACAAAAACATTCAAAACCTCAACCTTGCTCAACCGTACCTCTTGTTTCTCCTGCAGGAGACAGAGAAGCTGGAGGAGGAGAAATCAGACCTGCAGAAGGAAATCGAGAACCTGCAGAAAGAGAAAGACAAGCTGGAGTTCATGCTGGTCGCTCACAATCCCGTGTGCAAGCTCCCCGTCGACGAGCGCCACCAGCAGCACCAGCACCAGCTCCATCAGCACCACCAGCACCAGCAGCAGCAGCAGCAGTGCGCCCCCCTCCCACTGACCATGCGCCCCAACTTGGCCGGCCGGCCCCACATGAATCACGTTGTCGTGAAGCAAGAGCCCGATGAGACCAATGAGGGGGGCAAGACCCAGCGCTCCGTCATCAAACCCATCTGCCTTGGCGGCGGCATGGTCGGCGGCGGGATGTACTGCACGGACGGGGACAGTCTGAACACGCCGGTGGTGGCGGCCTCCACCCCGGCCGCCACGCCCAACGCCCCGAGCCTCATATTCACCTACCCGAGCCTGCTGGAGCCCGAGAGCCCCTCGCCCTCCTCCGAGTCCTGCTCCAAAGCCCACCGGCGCAGCAGCAGCAGCGGGGACCAGTCCTCGGACTCCCTCAACTCGCCCACCCTGCTGGCCCTCTGAGCGGGGGCCGCGCCCGGCACAGCTGAGAAACGAACACTGTGGCTGACCACCAGAGGCTCCCCGCGTCTCCCTTTGAAAGACCCAACGTTCAAAGGTGCAGACCAAGCTGACCCCCCCCCCCCCCCCCCTGCAGGGAGACCCACAAGGGCTACGCTGCGTGTTCCTTCTTGTTATGCTTTTGTGTAGTTATCCTAAAGAAAGGTGTCCTACCTACCGTCACCATTTCAACTCCAGAGGGTCGACATGTTTACTGGGAAGACAATTCTGAAGAGAAACACGCTGCAATCTGGTAATTGTGTGTCGGCGTGACCGAAAGCAGCCAGCGCGTTAATATATATATTTTTCTGCAAATGTTTCAAAAGCCATTGCGGCAGACACTTGCACTCCGCCAAGACAAATCAATAAATCCCTAAACGAGGTCAGCGTTCTGCTGGGTTTTCTGAGGAGACAACGAGCAAAGACTCTTTTTCCATTTTGAGTTCCCTACTTGGACTATGATTCAGGAATCGATACGAGCATTGTGTTCACGTTTCTGACACTATTACCATCTCTTTAATCCTATCTACGGCCTGTGCTGATTCCCTTTTTCCCCGTGTTCTGCTAAGACATCGTCCTTAATCCGCCTGTAGAAAAGCAAAATGGTCGCCTGCGCAGCGCCCGAGGCGCTCCTCGGTGTTGCAAAGGATTACCAGCCAATCAATGGCTAGTTCCTCAATACTCTATACCTTCTATTTTTGCCATAGCGGCTCAACTTTACAGTGGTATTGGTGTGCTTTTCCTCAGTGATTCTGTACCTGAACTTTTACAACCTGTTTATGACAAAGTGTATGTGATTTACATTGATGTCAGGGATATCTCTCATGTGTAGTAGAACCCAACGTGAAGAGCTTTGCGCGACTGCGGGGCGGCTGTGTGGTCTAGTGTTACAGAGGTGGTGATACACTGTACGCCGAGGGATGAATAACTTAATTTCCTCGCTGTGTCACGTCTGGGGGGGAAAAGGTTTGACTTTTTCCGCTCGGATAATACAAAAGTTTGAACAAAGCCCTCCTCCTGGATACTGACCTTCTGTTCTGTGTCTTACACATTCTGGAGATAAAGGTCTTACAGCCTCTCGGGCAGGTCGGATTTCAAAACGCCCCCAAAAAAAGGTTGTTTGACACGCGTAATCCTGTAATTTGTCCGTCTTTGTCTAAAAAAAAGAGGGAATTTTGCTCAAATTTGGAGAAGAAAAACAAAAAAGCCACTGTGGTCTAGACCGTCTCCAGCTGCCAATGATGTCAACCGTGTTTATACTGTGTTTGTACATCTGTCACTTTTAGTAAAGACAGTCAATGATGTTTAAATCCAAGTCAGACGTGCTGATTTTTTGCGGGTGTGTGAACTTATGCCAACAAGGAGGTACCGTGCCGGCTTTCAACAAGGGGCCAGACAATGTCCACTTTCTTACCAGAAAGGGACCATTTCTTTTCTTACAGCTGGCCTGAGATGAAAGAGAGCACCCCGCGTGAAAGATTTAATATCTCTGAAATTCTAAGAAGCACTTCTTTTTTTGTTGTTTTTACATGTGTGTATCTTTAAAGGAATGAGGATTTTCAATACTGTGCACTGAGAGGGACACAACAGCGATGTTCGGGGGGGTTTGGGAGGGGGGGGGGGGGGTTGCTTAACTTCAAACATTCCTAACGTCAGTGGTTTAGAAGGGGGATGTTGTCTTTACTCTGAAATGTTATTAGAGGAGAAAAAGTTGTGCTTACAAAGAAGTTTGGTTGTGCCGGATGCAGAAAAACAGACTTCGCAATTCAATACAAGCTGCTGCTACTTTTGAAAGAACACATCAGCTGTTTGTCTTCTGATGATGATGGGTTTAACATCAAAGGACGGAGGGGGGGAGTGTCTACGATCCTGTATGAGAACATAAAGAGTAACCAAAAACATTACTGTGGGCGAGTCTGATATGTCTGTATGTTGATTCTGCAGCCCCTCGACACACATAGGAAAGCCATTGACTGTAGATCTTCTGCTGTACATGTCATCGACTGTCCGTCGCTTGTTTTCAACTACTATTACTTCTTTTCCAAATGCTTTAACTGTTCAAAATGATCCAAAATGAAAAAAAACAGCAATATGTATAGCAGTGTTTGTTAATTTAAATGAATGATAATTAAAAACAGATGATTTTCGACCTGAGATTGTGCTATTTCGTTTGTGAGGATGCACTTACGCAGGTTAATTGCCAAAACACGTTTTCCTAGATTGTAATAATACCACCATCTTGTTTCTCAATTCTTCTTATTAAGTAAAGAGTATTTGACACAAAAGACACCAAGCTAAAGCCCAGGTTAACACCAAGAAGCTGTTTTTTAAAGAATACATGAGAGCTAAGACAAGAAAGCCATTTCAGAATTCATTCACAGAAACGTTGTGACAAAGAAAATTATATAATTGCCAACAATTCAAATCGTATTGATATTATCAACCTATTATTTCACATGTCACTTTCTCGTGGTGTATTTTGAAGAACAGATTTAATTAAATAATAAATATGGATAGATGTTCAACAATACAAATAAAATAAAAATAGAAGCGGAAAATGAAAATACATTTTAATACACAATTCACGGATAAAGTGTCACCTATAATTCTCTAGCAGATTGTAAAAGTGAACTAGCGACCATGAAGTCACTCAACTGGGAAAGGATTCTTAGTAATAGACGACAAATTCGAATTGAACATCTCAGTCGTAAACATTCTAACATCTAGAGAGATGGCTTATTACTCGAATATCCACTGTATAGTTTAGTTTTACCTTGAAGGGCAGACAATGAGTGCGTGCTGCCCTCGTGTGGCCACTGAGGGGAATTACACCACTGGTCTACACAGGAATAATGATCAATGATAAGTTCTTTTTCAGCGGACAACTACTAACGATAATGATAAAACTTTACACTGTATATGTGAATTATAACGTTGAATTATTGCAGTTTAAAATAGTGATGTACATGGTTCACGTTGTACATTATGTCTTACAGTCATACCAAAAAGTTAATTGTGACAGAATCTGGTGAATATCTTCAACCCATCACAGCTCAGAGTGAGAGGCATGTTAGTGGCCTTTTTCTTCGTTCGTCGTGATGTTTCATGTGTGCTTGTATATGTTTTTTCCAAACTTTTTTTTGCTTATCTTTTGTTTCCAGACCACGCGTTCAATGTTGGTCAGCGGTTTAATCCCCATTTCACTGGACATCCAGAGATTATTGGGATTGGGCCAACGTGTAGGTGCTGAATAAGCAGAGTTGCCCCACAAGGACAATTAGAAATACACATTTTCATTCTTGAAAAGGAACTAGCATGGCGGAGAAAATCAACTACCACAAAAGCTGCTAATCAATATCAATACACATGGGTCATGGTTGGACCAGGTAAGGCCCATTCCCGAGCCCTGTTCCATTACAACATAAAAAAGATTACAATCACTACATTGTGGCGTAACTTCGAGCAGTACAATCGTTCGTAGTCCGATTATATCACGCTGCCGACCCAGCACGCTCCACCAGAAGAAAGCAATGGCATTCAAATCAAACATAATACATCGTTGCCAATGTATTTTCTTTGTTTTGTTCATTTCTTATGTGTGTAGTCTAGTTCAACTAGAAACGAGTGCAACACCAAATCCTGCTGACCTCATCTATTTTAGTTTTTACTTGACGTATTTATCAGTATATCACTGGGAACAGTCTGTGAAAAGTAAACTGGACAGCATTTTAGACAGGCAAATAAAAGGATCAGTGGCAGGGCAAAGAACAAACAGGACATTAGAAAATTGAGGTCATATACTACTACAAACAATGTGAAAGGTGTAATGTTGGGCACAAGGATTAAAATATGGTAAACCAAATATTGAGTTGGACACAACTAATTGAAACTTAACTGACTGCTTATGATAACACATGCTAATCATCTCCTGACAGTAGGTGGCAGGAGAACCTTTTATCAGCAGTGCAGAGGACAGCAGAGACGTGATCATTGCGTTTTGCATGACATTCTTTCATATGATTTGGAGCAAACATGGGCAAGACCCTGCAGTCAATGTTGTTGGACATTGCTAGTTTTGGATGCGTGTGCAGTTGGAAGCCCCCCGTACAGTCGCCTCCACATGGCGTGCAGTGATCAAATATGCATCGTTACATTGAAAAGCATGTGTTTTTTAATTAAAAATAATAATAATAACCAATCAAATATTTAAGACGTATAACTTAAAGTATACTCATCTTTTGACTGTGGACAGAACATTTTATGGAAAGTTTCAGTTCAGTAACTTAAAGGATTAAGAAGAAAGCAAGTACAGCTTTCCAATAGTAAAGGATTCTGGTTCATATGATGCAAACAGACTCAAACAAATATATAATGTATGCAGTTTATTGTACAGTACAATGCTTTTGAAAGTGAAGATGAACTTTTATTTTGAGATTGAGCTTCATGCTACAGGAGTGTGACACAGTGGGCAGCAGCTATATTTGCCGATCTCGTGCCCGAGGGCACAGTGTTTACACACACTGCACATCCACAGCTGGAACTCCTGGATCGGGAGACCCGTCACAATGCAAGTAGGAGATTTCCCTTCTGCCCTACAAAGGAAGAATGAATGGAATCAGTAGGGTGATACAGAATCTCAGTGAAAGGGTTAAAGGAAGGCAGAGAGCTCTTAGTCATAATTACATTTGAATGCTGAACAAATAATTCATCGTCTTTCATTTATCGTTAAGCAAACTTCACCATGGAGCATAATGGACAAAAACGAATGCATGAAAAAATGGCACCATTACGACTTCTGAATAATACAGTGGTGCCATTTTGTAGCCGTGCAGTTTAGGCCAGCCTCCCTTCAGCGTTTGGTAGGCGCTCACCCCTCTGGCGAGCCATCCAGCTCCATCGCGCGGCTGTCCTTCGGCGCGTGCTTGGTGAAGATCTCCAGGGCCAGGTCCTCATAAAGCTGCCGCTGCTCGAGGTCCAGACTATCCAGGGACTCCAGCTTGATGAAGGCCTGCGAGCACGTACCGAAGGCCATGTTGGCCGCGGCGCAGACAGCCAGCAGCGAGTAGATCTGCACCGCCGGGATGATGTCCTCGTACTCACGCAGGTGAAGGGCTTTAAGAATGGAGGGACGAAGTAAAAGTCTAAAAAGAGGGAACGCCCACATGAACTAAATAATAGCTCACAAACTCTTCTCCTCTTTGAACCAGTGAGATGACGACATCACCCGGGGAGGAGTCCTGTGCGATCTGGTACCTGTACGCATGGCGTTCTCCATGTAACCGTCGTACAGCTGCCTCTGGGCGAGCAGAAAGAAGTGATACGCCTCGGCTCCCCGCCACGCATTGTCCACAATGCGGTTGTCTTCAGAGGTCGCATCTTCCTCCAGCAGCCCGGCGAGCGCAGACATCGCCTGATCACAGTATATTGTGGTATTTCAAAGCTTTTTTCTCTCCAAAGTAATATAAAGTATATAAAGGTATCGAGGATTAGTAGTGATTTATTACCTCTGTCTTCTTCCCTTTGCTCTGCTGTGACATCTTCACCTGCTCGTGGTAACTTTCAACGAGTCGTGCTGCCAGCACATAGAGCTTCTTCACCCGCAGTGGTCGGGTCCTTTTTCCCGCCTCCTCGTCAGCTATCTGGAATAGGAGCCATTTGAGTCCATGCCCACAAACAGGCTGAGCCAGCAGTCAGTTAGCAAAATGTCCGAACGGAACATGTATGTTACAAGATGATCGCTCTCATCTCATCTTCCACCGCTCATCCGGATGCCACGCTTGCCCTGGCCTGGGAACGCCCTGGGAACGCCCTAGGACCCGGTCAGGCTGGTAGAAGTGGCCCAGGAAAGGGAAGTTTGGGTTCCGCTGCTGGAACGCTTGCCCCCCGGATAAGGAGTTGAGGATGAGACACGGGAAAGATGATCTTGTAACATACATGCTCCTTTCTGATATGTTGCTAATTCCACTAATGGCGTGATTGATCTTTATTCAAATCTCAGGGGGCTGATGAGAAGAAGAACATTAGATCTCTTCATCTGAACGTGGAAGCATAGCCCTACCTTGAACATGAGCTTGGCAGCATCGAGGAAGTGGTGGGCTTTCCGATACAGCTCCACCGCCTCTAAGGTTTTATTCTTCTCAAGGAGATGCGACGCATATTTGGAAAGAAGAGACTTGATCTCTTTCATGTTGTGCGTCCGGGCGAGTTCCACTGCTTTGTTCCACTGTTAGAAAACCACAACGTTCCTTCAACGTTCACCAACAACGGGAACAACGTTCCTTTTTAAATGACATTTTGTGGCTTCCAACAAATAGAAATCATCATAGTCATATAATTACAGCACAAGTGAAACATCCTTTGAACTGAAGCCAGCTGTCGTTAAATGTTTTCGCACTAATTAAAACAACATAATTATGAACGTAAGGAAAGTTCTTTCATTTGCCAAAACCATCGGGAGCCAAATGTTAAAATTGACATTGGAAGAGCTGCAGTTGGAGAGCAGCATTTACACTGGAAGGCTAAATATCACCGAGCAAGAGGATGAAGGTGGGAGGACAGCAGGTGCCCCAGTGACTGCTGCACAGCCGCCAAAGTGCGCGTGGCCGCTGAAGGGCCGCCGCCTCGTTTGTTTACTCCGGCGCCGCGGCTTCTCTGTCCGTCTCTCACCTGGTTCAGATGGACGCAGGTGTCGACGGCAGCTTTGGGCTGGCTGCACTTCAGGTAGGCCGTCACGGCTTGTTCACACATGCCCACGGTGGCAAACATTTGTCCAATGTCCTGAAACACGGAGATGAAGAAAACGGAGTATTTGGTTATCGAGGATTCAGAACCGCTGCCGTCTGAAGCGTCTGTGTGAAGACATTAACAAAGACATGGGAACACTGGTCTCACCAGTAAAAGCTGATGATTCTCTGGAAGCACAGCGGTGAGCTTTTCGAGGCCGTGGTAGTCCTCTAACATGTAGTAGCACTCCGCCAGCCTCTCCTGGTTACGCCCCTGAACGTAGTACTGCACCGCATTGAACCTTTGACACACACAAGACGTACATTTCAAACCTAAAGCGGGGAAAGGTTTTCTCTGATGTTTAAAGTTCAGGTTTATATGTTAAATCCACTCAGCGTTATTGGTCGCTCTCATAAATTCTAGTGTCAAAA